CCCCCGGCACCAGCGCTGCAGCCCCATCGCAGCTCGCCCCAAGCCTCTCCCCACGAGGTGAGTGTGAAACCTTCCCATGAGCTGCAGAGCTTGGGGCAAGGCACGGTTTGGAAAACGAAGTGGCTCATGGAATCTCTATTAGCACTAACGTGTAACGTGCCAAGTATGTCCTAACAAAGTTCCCAGAAAGGCCCCAGATGAGGAACCACTGCCACTTACATGCAAGTAGAAAACAGAGCAGCAGGACTCGAGCCAGATTCGGCTGGGGAAAGCTACAGCAAATGACCCCTGAATGTGACTCCAACCTCCTTCTGCTGCCTATGACCCCTTATCACACCAAAGCTCTCAGCCTGTCTGGGCTCACCTGGGCCCCACAGAGGTGTCTGAACACCCTCTGCAATCCACAAGAGACTGCAGGGAATCACCCATGGGGCCTGAGGAACCTTGGGGTGAATTACAGCAGAGCAGCCAGCCTCAAAAATATACCCAGCAAAGTTGACATAAAAGCCCTGGGAGACTCCTCTCCTTCACCAACTCAAGGCAGGAACCAGGCCTGCTCTGCTTCAGAAGCTGGGCCAGCAGCTGGACCTGGCACGGACCAAGTAACACTGAGCAAAGGCAGGCTGAGACCACAGCAAGGGGCACATCACCACCACTGGAAGATCCCTCACTACCACAGCTCTGCCCACCCCATGCCCTGCCCCAAATGAAAGAGAGAGGGATAGTACCTTACTTGATATACTGTGAAGGGGACAAAGAAGGTCCAGAGCAGCTCTGCAATCCAGGAGGAGTCAGCCACACTCTGGGGAAGAAAGCACAATGAGGCTGCACCCACAGAACAGGAGCTGGGCAGGGCTCCATCGGGATGCCAGCGGGTCTCTGCTCCCAAGGAACAAGAGATGGGACAAGAGGAAACAGCCTCAAGCTGTCCCAGGGCAGGTTGAGATGGAGATGAGAAACAATTCCTTCCCGAAAAGATTGTCCAGCACTGGAACATGCTGCCCAGGGCAGTGCTGGAGTCACCAGTCCTGGAGGGATTCAAAAGATGTGTAGACAAGGCCCTTGGGGACATGGTGGACAAGGCAGTGCCTGGGCAATGGCCAGAACCCATAAGCTTAAAGGTATTTTCCAAGAAAACAGTCCTATGACTCCAAGACAAGCCTCAGGCCTGGCTTATTCCACAGCCTGGCAACAGGTGCTGTAAGGAGGAAAGCCCAGAAACCACAACCGCTGCAGGTAACTGGAGAGATGGATCTCAGAAACCTACAGTCACATCCTTACAGTGATGCCAACAGCCAGACCGGAGCTCTGCTGCCTCCTGTGGTGGCTGAACCCTGGGCGGTAGCTCAGCACCAGCAGCCGGGTAGGGTGGGATGGAAGGATGGTGGGAGGAGGATGGAAGGAATGTGAACCCCTTGGATTGAGATCAGAATAGCCCAATAACTAAAGCAGAGTCAAAAGTACCACTCCTACTACTACTAAGGGAAATACCAAGGGGAGAGAATGTAAAACTAAGAAGGGGAAAACAACAATAAACACAAGTGATGCCCAACCCAATTGCTGAGCACCTGCTGACCCATCCCCAGCAACAACTAAACAATGTGTGTGTTGCCAGCACTGCTCTAGGCTGAAGCCCAGGCCCAGCACCGCACCAGGTACCAGGAAGAAGGAAGCTGTCACAGCTGAACCCAGGCCATGTGTGCCTCAGAACAACGCCTCTTCCAAGGCTCCAGCTGACTGGAGCTGGGGAAAACTCTTCCTCAACTCCAGGCTTGGTGCTTTGCTCAGCTCAATGTGTCACACAAGTGTCTAAGAAAGCTTTCTGCAAAGCACTGACTGAGCCATTCAAAGTGCTGCATGCCCAGTCCAGTCCTCGCAAGTTTCCGATGGCTTAAAACTGCATAAGGAATCCAGCAGGATGAATCAGGGCAGAAAGTCCTGCTTGACCTCTGGAGGCAGCACTCTGAGCCAAGAAGTGACTAGACCCAGTATCTTCAAACACATCTGCAGTCAAGTGCATGCTGTTCTCCCCACCACTCATGAGGGAAGGGATGCACAGACAAACAACCCGTCACATCTCATGGAATTCCTCGGAGGAGCCAAAACCACAGGAAGGATAAGATATTCCCTGTCAGCAGCCCAGAACAGGAGAGCTCTCCCACTCCACAAGTAGTCACTCAAAAATGTAGTGTCCTCATTGTTAGAAAACTGCATCTTAACCCACCACTGAACTTGAGCAGAAGCACCATTTAGCCTGAGCATGTGCAGAGCCTCCTGCTGCTGCTGTGTGCTCTCACTCACAACTAACACCCCTCCTGCGCCCTTCTCTGGTGTGCAGGGAGCCACCGAGCCACCCACAGTGCTCCCTCTGCTCAGCTGCTTATGCCGAGTGCCTCTAAGTTGCTCTCTGGATCCTGCCTCACGCCTGTGGCCTCCTTGAACTCTTTTGGCCACTGCCCCACCTTCCTGGATGCAGGGCTGCCAAAGCTCTGCGCAGCGTGTTCCCAGCTCTCACCATCACGCCCAGCACCACGTTCCCCTGCTGAGCACCACAAAGCACATCACACCACAGGACCCAGTCGCGCACCCGCCACTGCCAGTGGCTCCCTGGGGCATGGTCATGCAACTTCCTCGTCATCCACCAACCTGAACCTCACCAGCAGAGGTCTCAGTGCTGTCACCTGCAGGCGCTGGAGGCATCAAATGACACTGGCAAAGAACTAATCCCCATCAGAGCCTCCCGAGAGATCCCTGCAATACCTCTAAATCCATCCACTGTGCCTTATCTGCTGTCCATCTACTGCCCTAAACAGATGCACAACAGACAACCAACTAAAATGTCAGACAAATGAAAAATGTGTCTTTTAATCAAGTAGATCCATAACTCGTATCAAGAAATAAGAGATTCAAGATGATCTCCCTCTGTAGGCAAGCTGAGAACAGTTCACTGCAGCCTGGTCAGCAGCACTAGCACTGCCAGCATGAACTTTGCCACTTCTCTGAAGCTGATGTTGCATCATGCTCATGTCTGCACTTGGGAGTTCAAGAACCTACCCAGGGAGTCTGGCCAACCTTTGGCACATCAGCCACTCTCCAAGGCAATGGCAGCTACTCTATCAAAGCACTTTAACAGCAGGGAGCTCACAAAGAGGAGATGAACCACGGGGATGCTGTGGCCACAGAAGCCAGACGGCACACTGTTGGGCAGCTGAGCCACCAAAGCATCTATCAAATCTGCCAGTGCAACTACAAGAGTATTGATTTGGTGGAAGTTCCCTGGGAAAGGGACTGGGAAAACAGTGCTAGCACTGAGAAGCCAGTGACAGGACACGAGGCTGCATCTCCCAGAGGTTTCACAGCAGGATTGAGCCCACTCACCACAGTGACCAAAGGCCTCAGCACTTGCAGGGCGACGGGCTGCACCACATCCGACACTGAGAACGGCCAGGAGCTGGAAAGGAGGAATTCCACAGGGAATGACGCCAAAGCCAAACCCAAGCGCCACCCTGCCGTGGCCGCTCCAGTACCTGAAGCGGAGCAAGCCGGCGCGGCCGTTGGTGGCTGCCTCCTCCGGGAACAGCAGCAGGGGGGGGTTCTCTCTGTGTGATGAATACACCTTCAGGGAATCCACCAGCTCCGCTCGGCTCCCGCTCACTCCCAGCTCCATGAACCCCCGTGACCAGCAGATGAAACCAGGGGCACTGTTCAGGGCAGGCTGCAAGGGAAAACAAGTGTCAGAAGGAACCCTGTCCTGTCCTGTCCTCCCCCCAGGCTCTACTTTCCCACCTGGCAGTGGGAGACAAAGCTCCTGCTTATCAGGAGAGATGCTTCTGGGGGCGAGGGAGCAGCCTGTCCGCTAAAGGCACTGTCACAGAGAGCACGTTACTGCTAGGCTTCAGTCACTGCCTGGCCCCAGGTCCTCATGTGTTTGACTCCTGATCTCCAGTTCAGGCTGTACCTTGTCTGCCAGAGGAACAAACTCTCCCTGTCCTGGGCAACAACTCCCTGGGCTCCCTGCCCTGTTCACTCTAGAGGTTCCTGACACGCTTGGCAAAGGACACACTACTCCCAAGAGTTACTTTTCTCCAGGTAAGGAGCAAATCTGCTGCTGTTCAGGACATAGGACCAACCAACTCGCTCCCAGGCACATTTAGAGCCAGTTGACTCAGGAATTCCACACTTAAGGGATTTAACAAGAGCAGAGGGAGTTACACAACCAGCAGCCCGGCAGAATAACCCCGGCACCACCACCCCACCACGCAGCTCCTCTCACAGTCAGCTGTCCCACACAAAAGGGGTGACACCCAGTGCTGGGGGAAAAGCCCCACAACCAGCCCTGCTCCTGACAGCACCTACCTGAAAAAGATACAGCTGCTGGGAGCTGCCCAGTCTCCTTCAATAAAATCAATACCCGTTCCAACACCTCCTGCTCCTCCTCACCCTGCTCCAGTTTTTATGCAGAGCCCAAGAGCACGACACTGAACCACAAAGAACTCCAGGCTCATGGGTTGATAAGTGAGAACTGAAGGAGACCAGGGTTACACCCAAGTTCTGAGAAAGCTCTCTGGGCCCTTCTCCTGGAGAAAGAACCCTCTGGACCCCAGGGAGGCTCCCGCCGGCCCCTCACCGTGTTGCAGGAGGTGAGGAGGTTGATGACGTTGTGGTCGAACTGCGTGACATGGTTGGCGATATAGACCCTGACGCCGGCGTCGCGCAGCCGGGGGTCGCTCTGCTGCACGCACAGGCCCAGCACCGAGCACATCACCCGCACGATGAACCTGGGGGGAAGCAGCTTCCTCACATCCCGGGGCCTGAGCCATTGCTGGCTGCACATCCAGCAAACAGGGCAGACCTGGGAATCCATGTGACTGGACAAAGGACACTGGTACAAAGGAGGAACGACAGGACAGATGTCTGGGATGGGAACTGTTGGGGTGGCAGCGGGGGCTGCAGGCTGCCTGCAGAGCTGCTGCTGCAGCATGGAACGGGGGGCAAGCAAGCCACCACAGGATCCCCACTGATCCAAGTGTTCTGGATCAATCCCTGAGCCCTCAAGAGGCAATTGCCCGCTTTTGTCTTGACACAGAAGGTGCCTTCATGGGTCTGAGAAGAGAGTCCCAAAAGCTCCTTATGA